CGTGTTTGGACTTCTGTGTTGTAAACACGCAAATCAGTCCGTGCATGATTACATTGCTCTGCCCATCAAAAAGTCTGCGCATCCACGAATATATCGCCCATCTGTGATTGTTGGACTGACGATTTCTGGTTGGAAAATTTTTACATATCGCCCAACCCTACACTAGTGAGCAGCACTGTGCTGACTTTAATTAATTTACAGATGCAACCTATGCAGCGCTCGTTTAAATTCCCACTTTAGCGATGCATGATGACATTTAAATTTATCCTTTATCCTGATTTGAAAAATAAATTGTCTCATAAGTTCAACTTGTTTTTTAAAAGTTTAGCGTTTTAAAACCAGATCTCACCAACTTTACCAGAAAGATCAATCTTACTGTACGAGCAGAGGAGAACTGCACGTCTCATTTCTGCAAGTAGTTCATTAGTCTGGGACTAAGATATCACAAATCATGCTTTCAGATAGTGAGGCTTTTCTGCTCGAGCAGTCACAGCAAACTCAGAGTCAATCACAGGAAGCTACAAGAGAAACGAAAAGAACATTTCCATGATCAGAAATCAAGAATGCAGCCTTACTACTGTAAAGCTTACAATCAACCAGAATCATCACATGTACCTGTGACGAAATGTCATTAAGTGTCGCTTTATATGGAAATTCCACAGCCACAGCCTTCCACAGCCTGCGTTTAGGTTAACCTACACTGGGCAGAGGTTTTGTGTATCTCTTTCAATAGCAGAGCAGAGACAGCAGCTATGCAGATGAGTGTGGGTGTACTGATTTTCTCTATGCATAGAAGAAGGTTTTCCATCACGCTGGGGTTATGTGGAGATATTTTATCTGTGCTACGTCTCAGTCACAGCGGGTTATCGTGTCTCTCCACACCCTCTCCAGTTTGACCCAGATTTAGGGGCACAGATGTAAATCACTGATTTGCCATCCGCAAAGTGAACAACCCCACATGCATTTGGTGAAGTTGGCCTGTTTGGATTTGGATTGGCTGTAGGTCAACATCAAGTTGTAGAGTATTCCATTTGATGATGAATAATTTTTTTCGTGTGGAAAATGATCCGGTCCTTACGGTAAACTGTGTGTTTCTCAGTGTGCACAATGAGAGTGCGCCTTACCTTAGACTTGAGTTTAACAGTGAGGATGTGCTGCCTTCCAGCGGAGTCCTCCGCTTTCAGTCTCAACATTCGGAACTCGGTGTCAATGAAGAGCAGCCTGAAGATGGACACGCACAAAGCACACGCCATAAATCAACCTCTATTCATAGAGAAGGGCACACGCAACACTGTAACCTGACAGCAGCCATCATCCGTCATTAATCACAGCTGCAGAGAGCAATATTGAGACATAAACTCTACCTTGAGATTTATCACTCTGGGTAGTGACATTACATCAGACTGCAACTCTGGAGTCATGGCCTACAACTATGGATCGTTTTCTGATAATCTGTGGTCCTCTGCAGCAAACTGTGGCCACAGTAACCTGACATGACACATAAAGTCATGGCCCATACCTTAGTGTGCCATCCTGTAAGTTATTTTGCCAATTCACCCTGTTAATAAACAGCTGACTAGTCATCTTACCATAATGACGTTCACATATATTTGTATTAACCACTAAATACAGAATGAAAATAATCTTTTAAGTGCCACTAGCTTGGCAAAACCTGTCTGTCTGGTGGGTTTTTGCCCGTAAAAACAAACGAAACACAGTTTGTTTCAGCACAGAACCTGGTAACTGCATCTGCTGGATAAGAATATTGGGTCTCCCTGCTTCTTGGAGAATTCCATCTATGGATATGATTTATGAGGAACTTCTGGGTATTAAAAAAAAAACAAAAAACAAGGAAGACAAAATAGATGGTGGGCAAAAATGAACTGTGACCCCTTTTGCACAGGTATATGATCCATCCATTCATGGTTTCTGATGGTATCTTTGACATGAGATGAATCTTAAAATGCAACTAATGGCCATTTCCATTATTTTTTGTCATTTTATTTTCTCTTTGTAAAAGTTCCCAAAAATAAAGTTAAAAAAAAAAAAAAAATGAAATGAAATTTAGCTGAGTCCTGCTAGTCCCAGACCCACCTATCAACCAGCGTTAGCAAAGAAGCTAGTTTTATATTAGCATTAGGTTAGTGAGCTAAAAAGAAACATACAAGACAAAAAATACATTACATAACAATTACGTTGCACATTCTCAGTCTTATGCACGAACACATTATTTTTATTGAACAAATTATTTATAGCAATTATCCCATAAATAAAGTTAATAATGTTCGTATATACTTTAGTATTTAATAAAAATATGCAGGTAATTAAGACAACATTTATTAATGAATGTTTTAGTTATTATATGAATAATGTTAATAAAAATTCTTTGAGTTCATTAGCTGACAGAAACAAACCTCAGCCAACACCAGTTTGTCCAGAGGAATAACATGACGCTAACGTTAGCGTGGCTTTAGCAGTTACAGCAGTGGGAGGAAGCTCTCAGAAAACGATGCGTCTCTGGATGACCTTAGGCTGAGATGTTTTTCAGCCTGAATCAACTTGTAAATCAGACCTTCCCCTTCCTGAGCTAATTATAACCTATTGAGGTTAAGGACACAACACTGATGTGGCTGGAGCATTCGCCAACACTGCTGTCAGATTTACTGCTCCTTCTGCTGCTCCAGCACACTGTAAAGGAGTCAGTTCCTCCCCCTCGCCAGACCAACTCCAGTCTACTGAGACCCAAAGATAAAAGACTGATCCGAGACAAAGGATTTGAACAGTCCTCCTCCAGATTTACAGTACATTACGACGGGCGCTCTATGCCGAGGCTGACATGGCTGTATATCAGCTGAGGATTTATGGAGTGTGTTAGAGAGGACTGATGTGAACATTGTGCTCAGGGAATGACACGCGCGCACACACACACACTTAGGGAAGTGATGGAATGATGGGAGACGGTGTCCGATGGGCCCGACTCATAAAAGCGTCTGCTTGCTCACTCACTTTCAATCAAATGCCGGAGTAGGGCGTCCGTGCTTTATTGCAATATGCTCACTAACATCTACGCATACAGGCGCCCAATGTCACCATCGAGCTAGTCTGACAAAGCCACAATTTTAGTTTTGTGTGAACCAAAAATCGGTGCTACCTGCTGAAACAATCTAGCCAAAGTATTGAATTTCTTGAAAAGGCACTACTCTGACTATTTCATATCCTGCACTTTTACCAAACGGACAGTCATAAAATACCGATTGCTGCTCACAGCAATAAAGACACAAGTTACCAAACTTATTCAGGTGATGAAAGTGACCGGTGTCCGAAAGAACAATTCAATGGATAGCAAGTGGAATCATTAAAATCAAGTGCCAGTGAGTTACAGAAGACATGA